GGTTCTACACCTGGAGCTGTCAATCAGTCTGTTGTTGTCAGAGGTTTGTTCCATAAATGTTAGACAACTGGGGCCCAATTATCCTATCTATTATGCAGTGTGAATTTGACAAATAAAGGTGCAAGTTACAGTTAATCTTTCCAGAGTGAGTGCAAGTTTTAGGAAGATGCTGTTGCAGTTTCAGAAGAGCCAGGGAGTTTGAAGACACAAAAGATTCAAGGCTATCTGATATGTGGCCATGCTGGTCTTTTAGATAAGGTGTGGTCAGACCCATATCCTTCATTATTTTTCTCTCGGGTTTGGATTAAAAAGGGAAGAGCTAAAGCTTCTTCAGGTAACTCTCCCTTGATCTGCTTTAAGGTTGGAAACAGGGGCTTGGAGCAACCTGCTCTAGTGGAAGGTGTCCCTGCCTGGGGCAGGCGTTGGAGCTGGATGATGTTAAGGTCCTTTCCAACTCTAACCATTCTATGATTCAGTGCTGTCTTGAATTATCAGCTGCTAACAGGTCTTTTGAGCCCAGCTGGGTTCCATTTCATTCTCCGTTTCCTTCTGCTTGCAATATGAGAACTGAAGAATAAATGAGCTGAAAATGACAAATTACTGCTGGAGGAAAAGGGTCAGAAGCAGTAGTGAGGCTTTGGAGGGGTTTATGTGTCTGTAACAGTGGCTGTGTGGGGTGGTTTCACTGGGAATGTGGATTAGAAGGCTGCTCTCTGTCTGCTGCTGACAGAAGTGTCATCACCAATAAGTAATTATTCTCAAGGGCTGGTTCTGGCCTGTTGAAAGGCTGAGGAGTTACAGGATGGGGATACTCTGCTGCTAATGATTTTGTGATGTGTGGCAGCCAGACTATATTTAGAATTTGTTGAGTAGCCCATTTTAGTGGTGCATTGATTGATGCACTTCTATTTCAGATCCAGATCAGCAGCTCTGTGTCCTGGTGCCTTCAGTGTTTTTTGTGCCTGAAGGAATGAAAATAGGGGGACTGGAAAAAAGAGAGAGTAAATAGCTTTATGGAAAGGGAGTATTACACTGTTGTTCTTCCTCACCTTCCAGCTGTGTTGATACTGTGCTCCTCACCCTTTTTCCCACTGTAACTCTGAATATAAAACTTAGGAAAGTGGATTCAAAGCTGTTAATGGAGAACAGCAATTCCAAGAGGGATTTCACTGTAGCATGAGGTGTTTTTGTAAAGTTTAGGGGCTGTTCCCCTAGTTCTCTTGGGGTTTTCTGTGAGGAGTGCATTTCCTTAACTGAGAGGTCTCTTTTGTTCCTCAGGCAGTGGCTCTAACCCTTTCCAGCATTTGGAGAAGAGTGCTGTGCTTCAGGAGGTATGAACGATCATCAGACTGTTGAACTCTTTTCCTTCAGGATGCATCAGTAGCTGAAGGAAGTTTTACAGGGCAACTCTCAGGAATTTGAATGGCTAAATTCAAATAGTTAATTTTAAATCACAGGGTGTATAAATTAAGTGCAGGTGGATGGAGAGCAGCCCTGAGGGGAAGGATTTGGGTGTTGGGTGATGAGAAGGTGCCCATGACCCGGCTTCAGTGTGTGCTTGAGCCCAGAACCCTCCATGTGCTGGGTGCACCCCCAGAGCGTGAGCAGCAGCTCAGGGAGGGAATCCTGCCCCTCTGCTGTGCTCTGGGGAGACCCCCCCTGCAGCCCTGATCCAGCTCTGGGGAACAGCACAAGAGGGACGTGGAGCTGCTGGAGCGAGGCCAGAGGAGGCCCCGGAGCTGCTGCGAGGGCTGGAGCAGCTCTGCTCTGGAGCCAGGCTGAGAGAGCTGGGCTGGGGCAGCTGGAGAAGAGAAGGCTCCTGAAGGGGACACCTTAGAGCAGCTTCAGTGCCTAAAGGGGCTCCAGGAGACCTGGAGAGGGGCTTTGGACAAGGGATGTAGGGACAGGCCAAGGGGAATGGCTTTAACCTGCCCGAGGGGAGGCTGAGATGCGGCCCTTGGCAGAAGCGCTTCCCTGTGAGGGTGCTGAGGCGCTGGCACAGGGTGCCCAGAGGAGCTGTGGCTGCCCCATCCCTGGCAGTGTTCAAGGCCAGGTTGGACACAGGGGCTTGGAGCAACCTGCTCTAGTGGAAGGTGTCCCTGCCTGTGGCACAAGGGTTGAAACTGGATGTGCTTTAAGGTCCCTTTCAACCCAGACCAGCCTGGGATTCTATGAAGTTACTCTCTGACGGGTTTATTTATGGTAATTAGATTCCATGTGGCTTTTACATACCATGTGGACACATGGGATTTCAGGGTTCTCTTTCTGAAGAGGTGACCTCCCTGTTTCCCTATGTTCATTCGACCTACTGTGTAGCAGGTTTTCCTGCTTCAATTCGTGTTCTCCAGGAATGATTGCAAGTGATGAAGTAAATCTGTTGTTAAATACTGCTGAATTTTGTTGGTTGCAAACAGCTAAAAGTAGGAACTTAGTAACTTCCATCTTGTGTTCCTACAGGCTACTACTAAACAGTGTTTGGGCTAGAGATGCTATGGGAAGAATTAAGTTGTTATGCTTCTATATTAAGGTATTTTTGCTAGTTCCCGAGGGTAAATAGTCATTGTTGGTTGCTCAGGCTGATGCCCGTCCAGCAAACTAAACATGCCTGAGATGGATGACAGGAATATGTTCTCTTGGACACATTTTTAGTATGAAAAATGTTATAAGCTACTTGGTTGAAAACAAATGGCTTTACTGTTTATGATGAAAGAGAAATAATTGTTGCTGGGTTTCACTGTAATACTCTCTTTATGCTGTGTCTGTAGGCACGTATCTTTAATGAGACCCCTATAAATCCACGAAGATGCCTGCACATCCTTACCAAAATCCTTTACTTGCTGAACCAGGTAAGTGTTATCATTTCTTCCTAGCCAGAATGAATATTCCCACGGCTAATGTAAGGAAGAAGTTCTTTACTGTGAGGGTGCTGAGGCCCTGGAACAGGTTGCCCAGAGAAGTGGTAAATGCTCCTATACCTGGCCGTATTCAAGGCCAGGTTGGACAGAGCCTTGGGAGACGTGGTCTAGTGTGAGGTATCTCTGCCCATGGCAGGGGGTTGGAATTGGATGATTTTAAGATCTTATCCAACCCAACCCATTCTGTGATATGATGATTCTAATTTCTGGTAGCTTTCAGTGTGAAAGAAGTTTTCTACCTCTTCCTGACAGATTTGGGAGGTAGCTTTTTAGGGAGATACAGAATGGGGTGTTTATGCTGTAATACTATATTCTCCCCTCTGACTTGCTGCTAAGTGGAGTGAGATATATGTCACTGAAGCTTTTAATACTTTTTTTGTGAGTGCCAAGTGAGAGCTGCTGGTTGGTCTGTGGCTATCACAGCCCTGTGCAATTAAAGAGACACGTGTGTTTGCCCAGCTAAAGTGGGAATAACTGAGGTGAGGTAAAAACATAGGCCAGGAAGTGAGGAAGTGAAAGGTGTCTTTTTGTTTGGGGATATATTAGAAGCATGATAAGGAAGATTTTCTCTAGGTATCCATGTAGATCAGGTTTCCTGTGTGTCAGGTGGTATTTAACATCAAGGTAGGTTGGACTGTTCAGTCTTAATTCAAGGAGATCCGTTTTAAGCATGACACAAAACCAGCAATGTCAAAAGAGGGAACATGGGCTACTCGACAAACTACTCCATCGCGGTGCCACTGTGCACGGCAGGTGTTGAAACAAGTAGCTAATAGTGGTATATTTGGCAAGTACTCCCCAGGAAACACAAGGTGAGGGAGGGATGGTTTCTAACACGAGGAAAAACTTCAAAGCAAAGATCCTGGGTATGTGGGTAGGTGTAAAAATGGAGGCTGAAAGGCGGAGGCAGCTCAGTAATGATGGTTTTTCTCTCACTTCTTGTGTGCTGTTCTCAGGGTGAACACTTTGGAACCACTGAAGCCACAGAAGCTTTTTTTGCAATGACCAGATTATTTCAATCCAATGATGTAAGTACCTGGTGTTTAGCACTTGCTGCCTCCGTGCTTTTGTCTGGATTTGTGGTAACTACAAAGCAGTTGGGTGTTGGGATGTGGGAGGTGAGCACTTCACAGAGCAAGCTCTGCACGCCAAGTACTTGCTGGAGGCAAGTCATGGTTTGGAAACAAGTGACTGAATAATAACCTACAGTTACTTCTGCAGGTTGATTTTGGTGCTGGGTTTATTCTTTTCTGCATTGAATTACTGTTTTAAAGCATGTGAATAATGACAAAAGCCTTAATATACAAATCAGTATCATTTTATGACTGTTTCTTACACCTACAAATAATCACCATCTGCTGAACTCAAAATAGAATTTAAAAGTTGCCTGTAGATTAAATACAGCTATTACCTAGAACAGCTTCCTCTATTCAGGAATCAGCATGGAGTCAAGGGGTGAGAACATCCTAAAAAAGCTGGATTAAACTTTGGACTTAGCCCAGTGTAAATTCCTTCTCTGATCTCTTCTGCAGAGTGTAAGAAATGGGAGGAGTTCTTACTCATTAATTTTTGTTAAGTGTAAACTGGCACCTCAGGATTTTAGAGATTTGTCTGAGGAAGGTTGAACATGGAACTGTGTAGAGATGGAATGAGCATTTTGAAACTACAGAGTGTTTAGGACCTTTCTCATAGCCACATATTGGAATGTGTGTGTGTGGGGGGGTGTTAATGTAAATATGTTGTTTGCTTTCCAAGAGTTTGTGTCAGTGCTCTTTGCATATTTACTTTACAATAGCAAATAGATCAGAGGAAGTTGGGTTTAAAGCTTTTAACTGATAACTGTGAGGCATCTGCATTCAGATGTTTCACTTCTTTCATGATTAACATGGATTTTTGGTTTTAGTCTTATCTTACAAGATAGAGATATATTTATTCTCCTGATTTGTTTGATAATTGGGAGTAAGGTTATTCCCCAGTTATCAAACACAGTTTAACTTGTGTGCTTTGTACACAACTGCTTTATCTTTGTATTGAAGAGGGTGTTCTATTTAAAAGCTTATTCAACATTTAAAGTTGAATATTTGAACTTTTAAGTTTATTTAAATTTTAAGACTTGTGGGAAGTGTTTATTTATGATTGCCATTAATAGTTTCCTGCACTACACTTTCACAGCAAACCCTTAGAAGAATGTGTTACTTTACCATCAAAGAGATGGCCAATATTTCTGAGGACGTCATCATTGTCACAAGCAGGTAGTAGAACCACAGACAACACCGTACCAGAGCTCTGAAACAAGTAGCTGCATCTCCATGTGTTTCTTTTAGCTGCTCTAATTGTGCTTTATGAAGGATACAGCAAAGGAAAACAGAGTATGTGTTGCCACATGAAATGTTTCTTTCCTCTTCCTGTGGTGTTATTCTTTACTAAAAGGGCAAAAGGCTTGCCTGCAGTTTCACAATTGGAGGAACCTTTGGTTTCTTGTGGGTTTCTTTTGGGGGGGTGAGTTGGTTTTGATTCTTTCCAACTATTGGTGCTTGATGGTTTTGTCACACCGAGGCTGTGATTTCTGTTTCACTTTGCTGTCAGAGCAGTTAGGGACAAGCAGAACAAAGCTCAGTTCAATCCTCCTACTGAACTATCAGGTTTTTGGACTACAGGATACATGTTACAGTTGCTGCAGAGCAAAATGGGATCTCTGGCATGTGTTTAAGTGATTGGTTTATGTATTTTTTAAAGCTGCTCATAGAATCACAGAATGGGTTGGGTTGGAAAGAACCTTAAGATCATCCAGTTCCAACCCCCTGCCATGGGCAGGGACACCTCACACTTGACCATGTTGGCCAAGTCTCTGTCCAGCCTGGCCTTGAACACTGCCAGGGATGGAGCATTTACCACTTCTTTGGGCACCCTGTGCCAGTGTCTCACCACCCATTTGCTCAGCATATGAAACTTTGCTATTATCTAAGCTAAGATTTCCTGTGGTAGAAAGAGAACACTAAGGAGGAGAACAACTGAGCTGAATAAACTAGGCCTGTGGCAAGGCCATATTATGAAAATGTCAATGTATTATTTTAAACTGAAACAGGGGCAGTTCAGGTTGGAGATAAAGCAGAAGCTCTTCCCTGTGAGGGTGCTGAGGCGCTGGCACAGGGTGCCCAGAGAAGCTGTGGCTGCCCCATCCCTGGCAGTGTTCAAGGCCAGGTTGGACACAGGGGCTTGGAGCAACCTGCTCTAGTGGAAGGTGTCCCTGCCCGTGGCAGGGGCTTGGAGCTTGAGGATATTAAGGTCTTTTCCAACCCAAACCATTCTCTGATTCTATGAACTGTGCATTTTGTAATGTTCTGTATTTCCACAAAATCTCATGCTGTTAGTTCTTAAATAGCTGATTATTAAGAGGTTGTTTCTAGCCAATACAAGAGCTCAGCTGCTAGGTGGTCACAGGTTGACCAGCAGCTAAATGAGATGAGGTGAATGTCACAAAAAGACCAAGGCATTGAGATATTTAAGTGGTGTTAACAGAGTGTCTTTGGTTATTTCAGTTTGACCAAAGACATGACAGGGAAGGAAGATGTGTACCGAGGCCCAGCCATCAGAGCACTCTGCAGGATCACTGATGTAAGTCCAGATCACATCACTGTTGTGGAAGAGATGAGGAGTGTATTTAAAATGGAAAACTACTCTCTTGCAGGGTGTATTCTTGTAGCAGTAATGGAACTGCTGCCATAGGGAGGACAGCTCTGGAGGCTGCTGCAGATGTGAGGAGCTCTGTGGAGCTGTAGCACTGCAAACGTGGGGTTAGAAGGCAGGAGCTTTGGAGCTCTGATCTGAGATAGCTTTGCTGTAGACTTGGATTGTGACAGTGAACCTTCAGGACCAGGCAGCTGATGCTCATTTCTCCCTTGCATAACAGTTCATGATGTTTTCTGAGGGCCTTTTGAATATGGTGTGTGTGTATTTTTGCCCCATATTGCTTTTGTGCTTTTTGCTTTTATGCTCTGCCTCCAAAGTACCAACACTTTTTCCCTCTTACAGGGTACGATGCTACAAGCCATTGAGAGATATATGAAACAAGCCATTGTGGACAAAGTCCCCAGTGTCTCTAGTTCTGCACTGGTGTCTTCCTTAGTAAGTAAAGCAGTAGATGGTTGGAAATCTGTGTGTTGTGTTATGGGTAGGAGGCTACTCTGCTGCATTTGTAGCTCTGCTTGGCCTTTGTTTTGTCTTTCTTCACCTCCGTTTCCTTTGAAATGTTTCCTTTCCTTTCTCTTCATCTCTTTACTAGAAAATAAACAAGAAATAGTAGCAATGGAGTTTTCCTTTGTCTCAGGCAGACTCAGACTGCCCTCAGACTTTGTTTCAGACTGTCCTCTCAAACTCCTTCCATAGCAGTCTTTTACCTTAGAGTACATCAGTTGTAATAATCTTAAGTGCAAAGTGCTCAGTCATTTCTCTTTGTAGTCAGTGAGGACATGGGTTTCTCTGGGAAGGGGCCTTGTCTGTTTAGAATAGTCAAGCACAGTGGTGACCATGAAAGTGTTTATTGGTTTGGTGAGAGTAACTAAGAAACAACCTGTTCTGTGCAAGAACCAACACAAATGACTGTGAAAGAGTGTACGAGTTCTGTGACAGGCAATAAAAGCAGTTGGCTTTGTGCTCTGCAAGGAACTAATCCATGAAATTGCTGCCCTGCTAAGACTGCAATTCAAGATCATTTTTGCTAATAGATAGGAGGGCAAGATGAAGTTCACTCTGGTGTTTCTCTCCCTTATTTGGGTGAAAAGACTGGAGAATATCTTGCTAGGTTAGTGGTTTTATTAAAGAGCAGAATACAAATGAGAGCATGGTAGTCTGAAACTGAGATGTAAGAAAACCAGTGGTTTGTAGGTGTATAGAGGCTGGCTGCATTGCTAAATCAACAAGGCAGAGCTTGGTAACTCAAGAAGGGAGTAAAGCCTGTATTAGGAACTGAAAGTGCAAACTAAGCTGGATTAATACTAACAACCAAATTAATAGTGACCTGCTGGGCTAACTGTAGGCAGGTGACTTCTCCTACTGTTGTCTTCTGTCCTGTTGTAACTTGGAGAGTTTTTATGTTCATTTTCTTTTTATAGAAACAAGAGCATCCATTCAAACTATGGGTGTGAGTTACTCTTTGTTACCTGTAGTACACAGCAAAGCCCTCAGTTGTCTCAAAGCCTTTAGAACAAGGCTTGTGGTACCTCACTGTGCTTCTGATCTTAGTTTGTCACCAGTCTCCATTTGTGTCTTCTTCCAGCATATGACGAAGATCAGTTACGATGTCGTCAAGCGGTGGATCAACGAAGCTCAAGAGGCAGCTTCTAGTGACAACATCATGGTGCAGGTATGTTAGAGGGTTTTCACAGCATTTGGTGAGTTCTGAAACTTAATTAAGAAGTAACTGGTTTTCCTTTTTTCCTTATTCTTTAAAAAATAAAGTGTTCAAGGCCAGCTTGGACACAGGGGCTTGGAGCAGCCTGATCTAGTGTGAGGTGTCCCTGCTGTGTCAGGGGGTTGGGACTGGATGAGCTTAAGGTCCTTTCCAACCCAATCCATTCCCTGATTCTATGATTCTAATTGTGACTTGAGGGAAACAACTGTTTCAGGAACTTGTGAGTTTCTCAGTGATCTCAGTACAAGATTATTTACTAGGAGCTGGCTCTTCAGTGCAGTGCTCTTGCCCTTTCCCTGACAACCTTCTGATGGCTGGGATGCTGCTGACTTTTGCACAGTAGTTGTCACAGAAGGGTTTTAAATATGAGTTTTCAAAGAGCTTAAAGAATTATCTCCGTCACCCACAACACCCAGCATCTCTTGCCTTGGCCTGCAGAACATTTGCAGTTGCTATGGGACCATGGAGGTAAGCCCAGATACCAGTAAGATACCCATGTTGGTGAAATAATAATTGGCACAAATATTCCAAAGAGCTGTGGAAATGAAGGTATTCTGTGTGTTCAGTCAGTGTTACAGACTAACCATCAGAAACAAGTCTGTTCTTACCCACTGAGCAGCTTCATTAATGATAAAATCATAGAAGCCCAGACTGGCTTGTGTTGGAAGGGACCTCAAAGCTCCTCCAGCTCCAGCCCCTGCCCCGGGCAGGGACACCTTCCACTAGAGCAGGTTGCTCCAAGCCCCTGTGTCCAACCTGGCCTTGAACACTGCCAGGGATGGGGCAGCCACAGCTTCTCTGGGCACCCTGTGCCAGCGCCTCAGCACCCTCACAGGGAACAGCTTCTGCCTCAGAGCTCATCTCAGTCTCCCCTCTGGCAGGTTCAAGCTATTCCCCTTGTCCTGTCCCTCCATCCCTTGTCCAAAGCCCCTCTCCAGGTCTCCTGGAGCCCCTTTAGGCACTGGAGCTGCTCCGAGGTATCCCCTTCAGGAGCCTTCTCTTCTCCAGCTGCCCCAGCCCAGCTCTCTCAGCCTGGCTCCAGAGCAGAGCGGCTCCAGCCCTCGCAGCAGCTCCGGGGCCTCCTGTGGATTCACCCCAGTTTTATGACCACAAAAAAAACCCCAACCCAAACAACTTGGCAACTGGAAATGTTCCTTTGTACTTTCACTGTGCATTCTTGTAAGGTCAGCTGTCATTTAAAGGACTTGGGATATCCTGGATGTTGAGTGTACTGGAAATGCAAGTCTTACTGGGCAGGATAATTTAGTAAGCCTGTAAATTTCTGACATCTAATGGGGAGAAAGGGGAGTAAACTGCCTTCATGGCTCTCTTGATCTTCAGGAGTACATTGACCCTGTCTTATGTTTGACAGGAAGGGGAAGAAAATACTGCAGATACTTGTAGCTTGTCAGGATCACTTGAGGTTAGAGGGTATTTAAGCTAGGAAGCACTGATTATTAGCACTCATTTAGGTCTTGCAGTCTGGCTTTTAACACTGAAGGGTGTATTCAATAGCTGCAGATCTTTGTTTCTCATTTCCTAGTATCATGCTCTGGGGTTGCTCTATCACCTTCGCAAAAATGATCGTCTTGCAGTTTCCAAGATGCTGAATAAGTTCACTAAGTCTGGCCTGAAATCCCAGTTTGCTTACTGCATGCTGATCCGAATTGCGAGCAGGCTCCTGAAGGAATCCGAAGAGGGGTAAGTAAGAGGCAGTGTGTGAATTACAAATCCTAAGCATAGTCTGAGGTAAAGGGTAGCTAGGAAAATCGTGGGGTTTGAAGCTTGTGGAAATCTAAACATGAATAGAATCATAGAACCCCAGCCTGGTTTGGGTTGGAAGGGAGGGGAAAGCTCC